ATTAATCAATTGTATTTAATCGCATCGGCAAAATTACGCCATATTTTTCTGTAAATGGTTGTTTGGATGGAAAGATAAATGACAGTGTCTATATGTACTCAATCTGTTTATTATAACAACAATAAATCCACAGAAAACGGCATTTCTGTGACTCAGACCATCCATCCGTCCATTTTCTTCCGCTTCATCCGTTGCCGGGTCGCGGGGGCAGCAGTCTGAGCACTCTGCATTTGACTCGGACCAAAGCTATTGTTTGCCACAGGGATGAGAACGGGACATTTCAAAACAGTCTGAGGCAGAATGTCATTATTTTGACACTTATAATTTCAGAAACTTTTTCTGTAAACACGAAGTTAGCTCAGTAAATATGTGCGTCCATATGAATGTAGTCAATACGCCTGAAAACGCTGTGAAACTATGCCAGACCTGTTGGTGGCGCTGTGACGCAATGACGGGATCAAGCCCAAACTTCCGTGGGCATGCGCGGAATTTTGTAAACAGACAACATGGCGAGTGGGCGAGCTGGTACTACATTAGTATGGACGGACGATGAGGTTGAACTGTTGCTTCGGGTCACACTGGATTACAAAACCAACAAGCTACAAGAAAGTGTAGACTGGGACATTGTTGTTGTCATTATTTTCTGAGTGCGGCGCATGCTTTAACAAGAGGCGGGGCGATGACGCAAGCGTCTCAGATACATTGCGGAGAGGCAGTAACCACGGAGCGGCATATACGGAGTTTTGAAATCTTTCCACTCTGGGACCTACTTTCAAAAATGTTCGTTTACACCCCCCCCAAAACGCCGGCCTCGTATGGACGATACACTGGATTGATAAAGTATTTTTGCGTTTAGGCCTGAGCTTGACTTTGTGTGGACAGGGCCTAAATCTTTTGGATTTGCTCAAAACATTTTACTTTTGGGAACAACCAACATGAGCTGGTACTGGTAGTGTAATGGGGAAAAAAAGGTACCCCAGCTTTAGTTTAGCAAGTATAGTAGCGCTACGAGAGGAGACACGGACACTTCCAGAGGCTCCATGTCCAGGCTCAGTGTGTATTTATTGCGTTAATGAAATAAATCAATTATCGTGCGTTAACGTGATCTTTTTGACAGCCCTAATATACATATGAAAATACATGTTACTGAACGGGTGGTAGGTGGCTGAGTGGATAGCACTCTCGCCTCTCCGCAAGAAGGTCCTGGGTTTGAATCTCGGTCGGACCAGGGCCTTTCTGAGTGGAGTTTGCATGTTCTCCCCGTGTCTGCGTAGGTTTCCTCTGGGTACTCCGGTTTTCCCCTATCTAAAAACATGCACAATAGATCTGTTGCTCTTGTACTGGCCTCGCTCCCATCTCTGTGTGGAGTCAGTGACAAACTAATGCCCAAAAATAACAATCCTTTGAGACTCGGTGTATAAATAAAAATTACTTCTATCTGTCTTTGTTTTGTGTGTCCGGTTTGTTCTGCTGTGTTTTTTGACTGTTTTATTGTTATTAATGTTTAGATTTTGTATAACTTCTGGGTAGTTGGTGCACACTGGGGTGGTCTTGCACAGTTTTTTCCACTATGGTTTTACTGCAAAGGGCAAATTAATTCTTGAATCTTGACTCTCATGGTAAGGGTTCCCGGTGAAAGTGCCAGGACGGTGTAGACTGTGGTTAATTAGTGCTGAAGAACTATAAAACTGATAAGACCCACTGCCCAAAGATCACGCTGCTCTGGGTCTGAGGCAGAGACGCTACAGTCAGAAATGTGCTGTTGACCTGATGTAGAAATGGAATGGACAAAACAAGACAACGATTATAGACAAAGGAGAAGTTGCATGTAAATGATAAAGAGTATAATAAAAAACAATTACATGTATCTGTAAAAAGCGGAATTAAGAAAAAAATTCAATAAAATTGGAAAAACATATGTATATAATAAAATGTATGTCTAAAAACAGAACAAATAAAACAATTGAATGTGAAGCTTGTCTCCTGCTGCTGTAAAGTGCTCCGGACACTTGAATAAGACACAGATCTGAGAAAGATTCAGTTGAACCAAAGTCTGACGTGTTGCAATGTTGTTACTGCGTTATTTATTATTATTATTATTATTATTATTATTATTATTATTATTATTACTATTGTTAGCTTTTTAGAATGATCTGTTTATTTGTTTTGTTGTGTTTGGATGGATGTGTTTTTGCTGCTCCTGGACACCTGCTTTTATCCTACAGGGATCAATAAAGTATCTGACTATCTATCTATCTATCATGTATCTTGACAATGATAGAAAATAACCACTGGCCTAAAACCCCAGTGGTTCTGGTTCTTACCCCAGTGGTTCTGGTTCTTACCCCAGTGGTTCTGGTTCTTACCCCAGTAGTTCTGGTTCTTACCCCAGTGGTTCTGGTTCTTACCCCAGTGTGCTGATGAAGCCACTCACGGAGCCCTCCGCGAACAGAGACACGATGTCTCCGATGTGGAGGAAGCTAGAGGCGGACTCGGACATCCTGCGGCCGGGCTGGGGGTCCTCAGGTGGGGTTCCTCAGGAGGTCCTCAAGGGGTCCTCGGGTGGTGGTCCACAAGGGGTCCTCGGGGGGTCCTCAGCTGGGACACATTCCTCTGCATGCACCGGACTCAGAAACACGTCAAAAGTCTACGCTCCCCATGGATCTATCAGGCTCATACAGAGTGTGAAGTCTGGGAAAGAAGAACACAGTCACCGCTCCGAGCGCGTCTCTGCTCTATGGTCCCAGGCGTCTATGGTCCCAGGCGTCTATGGTCCCAGGCGTCTACGGTCCAGAGCGTGTATGGTCCAGAGCGCGTAGGGTCCAGAGCGTGTATGGTCCAGAGCGTGTATGGTCCAGAGTCGCTCCAGTGCTGAGGTGGGCGTGTGCTCGTACGGGCACGCGCTGGAGTTCAACAAATGAAAAACAGTGAAAATCCGGAAGTGGAACAAGTGCGAGAAAAGGCGGATTCACACACGCCTCAAGAAACAACATGAGGATGTTTGAGACTCAGGCTTCTACTCATGCCTACAACTTTACAACCCGTGCCTCTGGTCAGACCAGCCCTGCCCATGGTCCTGCACATGGTCCAGCACATGGTCCTGCAAATATAGTTCCAGAGCGGTCATTCAAGACTCCTGCAGAGTTCGTGGCTGTAGCTGGCTGTAGTTTAGAGCCAGATTCAGTGACAGACTCATGGTGTGGTCGTTCCTCCTGCTGTAGTCAGACTGTACAACGAACACCAGAAAGGCTGACCCTGCACATGTACAGTCATATAATCCACTGAAAGTACACTAATCACTGTATAAACTTATTTTCTTCTTCTTTGGTATTTTTCTGAACCCTGATGGTATATTTTTAGTTTTATTCCCAGCTTTTGGCACTGATTCTTCTGACTGTGTTCTGTTTGTGTCCGGGGCTGAAGCAGCAACTCACAGACGACTCCTACAACTAGATTATGAAGCTAATAAGGATGAGAAATGATCACAGAAGCATTCAACCTGGAGCAGACGCCGCAGAAGAAACATAAACATTTAGAAAGACACATGTCCATATTTATCACATTCACAAAAAGAAAGAAAAATACTTTATTGATCCCTGTAGAAATAGTCATCCTAGTTTGTTTTAGTACAGAGACGTTTAAGTAACAATATGTAAGATTTTCATGTCAAGACATCATTAAAGGGCCCTAACATGTCATCGTTAAAGGGCATTAATCTGTCATCATTAAAGGGCCTTAATCTGTCGTCATTAAAGGGCCCTAATCTGTCATCATTAAAGGGCCCTAATATGTCATCGTTAAAGGGCATTAATCTGTCATCATTAAAGGACACTAATCTGTCATCATTAAAGGGCCCTAATCCGTCATCAATAAAGGGCCCTAATCTGTCATCATTAAAGGGCCCTAATCTGTCATCATTAAAGGGCCCTAATATGTCATAATTGAAGGGCCCTAATCTGTCATCAATAAAGGGCTCTAAACTGTCATCATTAAAGGGCCCTAATCTGTCATCATTTAAGGTCCCTAATCTGTCATAATTAAAGGCCTTGTTCTGTCATCATTAAAGGGCCCTAATCTGTCATCATTAAAGGGCCCAAATCTGTCATCATTAAAGGGCTCTAATCAGTCATCATTAAAGGGCCCTAATCTGTCATCATTAAAGGGCCCCAATCTGTCATCATTAAAGGGCTCTAATCTGTCATCATTAAAGGGCCCTAATCTGTCATCAATAAAGGGCCCTAATCTGTCATAATTAAAGGGCCCTAATCTGTCATAATAATAAACTGCTCTTTTCCAATACTTCTTTAACTGATAACAGTAGTTCAGAGATATTTGAATTTCTAAATGAGTTTTACAACCCCTTCTCTTATTTTTTTCATTTCGATGTCCCGCCCTCCACCGTTTCACCAATCAGAAAGTCTGTGACCCGGGCGCCAGAACTCACCGTGTGGAGCTAATCTCAATGGTAAAGTACCATGTGGCGCAGAACTAAAAAAGGTCTCGTTATGATTCTCAAATCATTAACGACAAAACAAGGAATAAAACCAGGATTTCTATCTTTGTGAAAAAGGTGTTGGTTATAGATTTGTTGTTGACAAAACTCTTGTCTATTCAGCTGTTATGGTCCCAGCTGGATTCGTCTGCATATCTGGCAACCTGAGTCAGGGAGAGTGGGAGAGGCTGCAGTACCACTTTTGGACACATTTTTACAGACTGCTCTTCTAAGCTTGAAGGTAGATTCTTTTTTTTATTAAAACAAAAATAAATGGCAGGACAGTAGTATTTGTAGAAGAATGTATAGAGAGTGTAGTGACTATAGGACGCTGTGTTCTCTGATGGTGTGACTATAGGACGCTGTGTTCTCTGATGGTGCATGTTTGTCTTGATGGTGTGTACTGCTCTTGTGTTCTTGGTTGATCTTATCTAAATAAACAGCGCCAAGATTAGAACCGGTTCCAAAATGCGGTATAACTCCCTGCACCAGAAAGTCCTCACACCTATCTGTCAATCACCAACGACTTTGTACCATGTGACGCAGCCTGGTCCCTGAAGGTGAGCACTGGGAATCAAAATAAATAATCAAATACTTAAACCAGGCATGTCCAAACTCAGGCCTGTGGGCTAATTGCGGCCCTCAGTGTCATTGTATGTGGCCCTCTGCCTCGCTAACACAAAGTAGTCTGTGAGATCATAAAGTTCACTGTGTCATCCATCCAACTTCAGCTCTGCCAATATAGACCTTGTTCTAAAGCCCAGAATGTACTGAGGTGGTTTTTGATTGCGTCACTTCCGTTATTGATGGCTAATTCTTATTCCGGGTGCACCCCCACAGGCCCGGGGTGGTATTGCAGCATGTCAGCGCACGTCATTTTGGCCACTTTTGAGCCGAGACCCGCCCACACTGGTTTCACCATGTGTCGTATATCTACAATATCAATATGTTTTTACAAATGCATTTCTATTTACAATTTGTCAGCACAAAATGGAGCGGGAAAGAAGTAAAAACTTAATAATAAAAAAAAATGCAAGAATTTTGTTATTTAGCATTGAATAAATAATCCTTTTATAATCATTTGTGATTCAATACTTTAAAAAGGAGCAGTCTGTAATAATGTGGCCAAAAGTGGTACTGCAGCCTCTCCCACTCTCCCTGACTCAGGTTGCCAGATATGCAGACGAATCCAGCTGGGACCATAACAGCTGAATAGACAAGAGTGATGACCCATTTAGACCCTAATTTTGATTAGATTTTAAATGTATTTTTTCTCATCAGGAAACACTTCATATTTAAGTTTAGTAACAAAAGATGTTTAAATCCCGCAGGTTTGATAAAGTATGTTGAGCACAGTTTAACTCATTGACGTGTTTGTCTGAGACCTTCTGTTCGACGAGAGATTAAAGGAGAACTAAACTAGCTAGAAGCAAACTTATTCTCGCAGAAGAAAGCAGTAGTCCAGTCTTTCAGAATCTACATTTCACATTATAATATTATAGCCCACCATCAGGCCCGTCGGAAGGGCTGTGCGACCTGTGCCCAGTGTTGCCAACTCCTCAGTAAGGAAAGTAGCTATTGGCTGTCCCAAAAGTCGCTAGAAGTCGCTAAATGACGTCATCGCCTAATTTGCATAATTTGCCATTTGCAAATAACTGTAACGGACGCTGTAGGAGAGAGGAATAAGGTCGTGGGAGAGACAAAAGTGAGTAAAAACACCCTAAATATGTTTAGAACTACAAATGTACAAAAATAATTTCAACATTAACAACATTTAATGATTTTAATGCTTTGTCTAGATCCACATTACACACATCAGTTTTGTCCTGTATTGTTAAATGTTATAACAGCAAATGTAATCAAAAGATTGTTATGTAGGGTGAAATTGCTAGCTCTACAACCAACCCTCCTCCTTTATCCGGGCTTGGGACCGGCAAAGTGACCCAAAAGACACACTCTGGCAGAGTTACTTAGGTTTATTTTTGTAAGTTTTTTTTTTTTTTTCATAGTTTGGCATAACAAATGATTTAATGTGACCCACTACTGAGAGAAAACAGAGTCACGGACAGAGCTGCCGCGGATGGAGTGGGGGGTAGTGGGGGGTGGCGGTGGTAGGAGTGGCCGGGGAGCTTTGGATGTGTGGTGGTGGTGGAGCTGGAGTTCAGTCTGCAGCAGCCTGAAAACTTCCTGTGCTTTTGAGTCTCCTCTCTCTCTCTCTGCTCCGCCCATAGACTGTAGCTGGGACTGCTGCGCAAGGCTACTGTGAGACTGGCCGCCTGTAAGTGCTTTGGGACGGGGGAGGGGCTCACGTTGAGGACAGCAGAACAATACGTGCTTCACGAGTCTCCAAAACACCAGATAAGTCGCCAAAACACCAGATAAGTCGCCAATAACACCAGAAAAAGTCGCTAGATTTGTCGCTAGTCGCTTTTTTGAAAAAAAGTCGCTATAGGGGTCTGAAAAGTCGCTAAATCTAGCGACAAAGTCGCTAAGTTGGCAACACTGCCTGTGCCGTCGCACAGGGCCTCGCACCACACAGGGCCTCGCAATCCTTCCTTTTTTTTATTTTTTTATTAAATAAATATACTAGTTCAAGAGTCCCCAAAGGGCAGACTGCGCTCCAAATTCGGACCCCTAATCCCCTTTCTCTGGACCTCTGATTTCTTTTGTTCAAAAGTACATTATTACAAGTGAAGTCAAATTTTCACCAAAAGCGATTTGTAAACAGGCAGGCGCGAGGGCAGCTATCTACGCAGCGGGTCCTTTACGGAGCTGTCAGATAACTTTAGCAGTGTCTGAGTGAAGAAAGTAACGGGAATGAGCCCAGTGTACGGAGAGATGGATACTCGCGTCTTCCGTATGAGGAGGAGGAGAGAGGAGTGTGATCAGAGGAGGAAGAGGAGGAGCTGCGAAACAGGTGTGTGAGCGCTGTTATTGTCAATGTTGAGCCCAAATATCCACATCAAAAACATATTATAAAAGCATTAGCAAACACTGTATGTCCAACG